ACTCCCCACCAATGACCAATCACACACACACACACATACACACACACACACACAGAGAGAGAGAGAGAGAGAGAGAGAGAGAGAGAGAGAGAGAGAGAGAGCCGTGCCCTGCCTCCGCGGTTGAGAGAGCAGCTTGAAGAGTGTCTGAGGCTCGTGTTTCACTGTGAGATCCTTTATCCAATATGACTGAATGCAACCGAGTCTGGTGCAGGGTCTATAAGTACTGTGTGGCGGGGCTACCCTTTGGGCCCCAGGCAGTCGATGGAAATTGTAGTCAACATAGAGATGATAGAGCGTTATCTGAAAAAAAAATACTATTTTTGCGACTACTCTCATAATGTACGTATATATAGATGTTGTCGAACGACAAAAATACACAAGGCAAACATGAAGGGCACACTGAAACCGGTCTTTCGCCTCTCTGTATGCAGTTCTATATCTATATATATCGTCAAATATATATATATATATCGTCACAAATATATATATATCGTCAAATAGAATATATATATATATCGTCACAATATATATCTGTATGTATACATATATACACGCCGCCTCTAGTCTCTAGACATTTCAATAGAATTCATAAAAGCAGGAATTCATTCGGAAACTTTTACCTGGCATTGAGCATATCTCTCAAATGACCTCGCAGTTCAATGAGGTCATCCCATTTGCTCCTTAATTCTGAGTCATCCTTGAAGATGGCCTCCAGCTGCTCCAGCTGCTCATTATGCCTGGTGCTCTGCATTGGCATTCCTCTACCCCATCCTCTACCGCCATCTCTTCCCCTACCTCCCCGTCCTCGCCCTGGTCCGCGCTCCTGCCATCCGCCATCCCCCTGTGACATACCACCCCAGTTTTCGCCGCGGGCCCCCCTCCCCATTCTTGTTCCACGACCACCACCACCTCCCCAACCCTGTTCGTCATTACTCCAGCCGCCTCCTCCTTCAAAACCTCCGCCGCCCCGAAGGTCTTTGGCACTGCCCCCACTTCCATTTCCCCCCCAACCCTGTCCTGCATCATCCCACCCACCCTTACCCTCCCCGGCGCCCTCACTCCCGTTCCACCTTTGCCGGCCTCGCCCACCTTCACGCCCTCCTCTGGCCCGTCCATATGGTCGGTCATTTGTCCTCCCTCTCTTGCGGTCCCCTTCCTCCCACCCTCCCCCCTGCTCCTCACTCGCCCTGCTTCCATTTGCCCCCCAACCCTGTCCTCCATCATCCCACCCACCCTTACCCTCCCCACCCCAAGAGTCTTGACCAGCGCCCTCACCCCCATTCCAACCTTGCCGGCCTCTCCCACCTTCACGCCCGCCTCTGCCTCGTCCGTATTGTCGGTCATTTGTCCTTCCTCTATTGCCGCCACCTTCTCCCCACCCTCCCCCTTGCTCCTCATTGCCCCTGCTTTCCATGCCATCGCCAACCCCCGCTGGCCCCTTGACCTTTCCATCTCCTTCTTGCCCCCATCCACCCCAGCCTCCCATTTCTCTCTTCCTCTCTTCTTCCTTCCCACCTCCTCCTCCATCCCCCCAACCTGCTGGCTGCATAGCCGTGCGAGCTCCTGTTCCTCTCCCATCACTTCGCCAAGCTGGCCGACCTCTTCCATCCATATGTCTCCTTTCCGATCCTTCATGAGCTCCTTCATTTCCCCT